ATATGAACAAATTATTTCTACACACAAGTTCTTTTTCCTGCAGAATTACCAAATGGTATGTTTTTTCTTCCTATCCACCCAGAAATCATTTGAACAGATACCTTCACAAGCCATTGAGTAAAACTCCTTAAATCCCATCCTGCTCCTTCCCCAAATATCCTGCATGTGTTAGCTGGCAAACTATCAGGAGCATAGGCCTTTCTGTAATACAGAACGTGCCATCATTTTGGTTCATGTTTCCTACAGATTGTCCTAAAACTGGAGTCACATTAGAAACCATGAAAATCAATGTTTGCTTTTTTCTTTAATCTAAAGTCACTGTAAAGTTAAACCCAAGCATTAGGTCAGTAGAACAACATTTAAAATTGAGACATTTGTTCTTGCATGATCCTGAATGTGACCATAAAGGAAGGAATTGCTACATATGCAGTGTCACACCCTCACAGTAAGGCTTATAACTTACTTGGAACAGTAGTGAAATGCACACTTGGAAAAGAACACACTGCATTTCTTATCAGTGCTTACGTACAGTATAAAAAACAGTGCAAATACTAGCTTTTAGCCCATTCTCTTGCTCCTTCCATTGTTGAATAAGAACATTGCTACAAATATATATAAAAGGGGGGAGGGGAGGCAAAAAAGCATGACCAGAGCTTAACTTTCTAAGCCTCGTTTACTGTAAGAGAGCCTTCATAGTGCACTTTCTATTATGGGTGAATTAATTTCATGTATAAACTCCAGCATTTTAGTATTGAAGCAACCAAAATATTTAAGATGTGAAGTAGACTCAAAGTCAGTCCAGGGCAGTGGTTTTCAACCTGTGATCTGCAGCCCCCTGGGCGTCCACAGACTATGTCTAAGATTTCCAAAGGGGCCCACACCTCCATTTGAAATTTTTTAGGGTCCACAAAAAGGTTGAAAAAAAATCATTGGTCTAGTGTAATTCCAAAAGCAGTTTGAAACCTATAATCAACAAAGCTAAAACAACAAAGTCTTGTGCCTATGTTTAAACTGCAAATTACTTCAGTCTATAAAGGAGATTTACGCTATTCCACAAGCTCACTTTTCCAAAAGTTTTGGCTTCCCAACATAGATTAGAATAAATTCCAGTAAATTTAGTTTTACAAGATTAGTGCACCTTGGGGTTAGCCCAGAGAAAAGACACTGGAATAACTCAAGACATTCTAGCTCTTAGACTGAAGTAATCAGTATGATTTGTTAAATCAGGATTTGAACCAGGTAGCTAAAAATGAAAAGCTCACTGAGCTAACACTATAAAACTGGCCATATGGCCCAACAGTAACACTAAGTTCCAACACAGATATAGAGCTTGATTCGGGCCAGCCAAAGATGAGGGCAGTGGGGGTTGGGGGGCAAATCACACTGGAAAAAAACCACTTAAAATCAGTGATCACAGAAGAAAATGCACTTTTCATATTAAAATGACAATCTGATTGGAAACATGTTAGGAATAACCAGACTGCACAGTCTGCCTTAACATTCAAATGCAGTGGTTATACATGCAGCATTGTAAACAGTCAAAGAGTAAACACAGTGAACATTGTTTTTGTAGATCTCCAAAGTAAACTACGATCAGAGCACAGTATGTAAACCTGTAGTTTTGTAAGAGAGACTTACTATAAACTAAACATACAGAAAGGGAAGCTTTCAATTGTGAAATAAAATAAAATATTTTTCCCTCTCCATACCTCTATCTCCAGACCTCAAACTCTGTGCAGGATTAAATAGCACGCAATGTGTATTGAAAAATGGAAATTTTTAAAGACAATCAAGTTACAAAACATGCTAAATTAGTCTATAGTCACAAAATCCTCCAAAATTAAAAACCAAAACTCCACACACTGCATAAAAAGAATTGGGGGAAAAATGCATACAACTGCACTAAAAAACTAAAATAAATTACTGTTTATGTAGTACTAGAGACTGCTACGTGAACTAATTCCAGAATTTCCAGTACCTGCATTGAGCTTTTTGTCCATTAAACATTCTTCCTCATAATTTCATGAGTCTTAACTTCAAGGACACAAATGAGTGAGCGACAATTTGATTAGCAACTGCAGGTGAGTTGTTTTATTCCAAGCACAGTAAACGGACATGCTTACTTTTCAAGCATCTTCACACCAACAAGCACTTAGATCTCTGAAGTCCATTCACAATCAATTTGACTAGATAATCTTGCCTCTCCAAATGCCCACCCACTCTGAAAACCAAAAAATCCACTGAATGAAACTCAATCATCCATTTGCTATTTCTTCACTCTTTTACAGACATTCCTGTAAGGTGTACTCCTGCACTTTGGAATACAAAGTATAAAATGATTCATTTAACATTTTGAACATAAAACACATAAAAAGGACATACAAAACTAGTAAGAGTAAACAATCTGAAATGTTCACAGTGCAGGGCACCCTGAAACCCAAAGGCAGGTCATATACAAACACATTTAATAAGCTGTTTGAGACCTCGAGAAAGAAGGAAACTGTGTCAATACATATTTCTGAAACAGTACCTTGTACACAAACAAATAGAAATTATTGCATATTTATCCAATTTATTTTCAACTCTCACATTTATGCTAGATTTCATAAAATCAGGCCTGTTTTCTGCAGCCTTTGTTTGGGATTCCTCAGTGAGGAAGCCAGGTATTTTTGTAATGAATGAAAACTTTTGCCTAAAAAAAAAAAAAAAAAAAAATTCTACACTTAGTGATCCCAGTAAGGCATATCCCATTTATGCACATTCTGCAGTTACCTCACTTCAGAGGCTTCCTCTCATATTGCTATGAGCCAGTTCACATCCCAAACCGTCATCAAGTGGAAGTTTCAAGTTTAAAATTCACACAGCTCTATCAATCTTCCCCTTATTAATTCATGGTGCATTAAGTGAAGAGGCATAAAAGGAACATATTTGAAAAGTCAATCTACCTATCAGAAATAAAGTTTTCCAAAGCTTGATTTTTAATCATGCGTTAAGAGTCTCTCATTAAACTCACTGGCATTAGCAGCCTGGAGGTCTGAGTGCTAACTTCTGATTCCTTATGAGCTAGACACTTATTGCTAGGAAATCAATCAGGGCTTTGGAGCGGAGCACGGAGCAGTGGAACTGCAGGTTTTTGCCTGGAGCTGGAGCAGAGCCGGAGCACAGCTCCAAAGCCCTGAAATCAACTACTTACTCTAAGAGGACTGAACAAAGCTTTGTTTTCATTTGGATCTGAATAGGTAAATTGACATATTCAGCCCTCTCCAACTTTACTATCCAGCCCTCTCAATTAAAATTACAGGACATATGCATTTAGGCACAGGTACCTAATACTTTTTGAAGATCTAACTCCCACAGACATTACTGTAAGTTAGGCAACCTGAATAACTTTGAGGATCTGGGCCTTACTGATTTAAGCAACCTCTGAACATTATTTCTGGCTGTCAACCCGCTGCCGCCACCACACCAAGGTGAAGCAAAAGAGTCACTTCAACAACTATTCTAAAAGTAAACTGACCCGTTGTAAGACTTTCTTATCCAAATGGAAAAACTGGAGTCTATTTCCCCTGTTAACTGATACAGGAGTCCAGCTTTCCTGGCTAATGGGAAATGTTTTAACAACTGAAAATTACTAGATTCCCTGGCCCAAAGGGATGAAAAGATTAGAAGATAAAAATAAGCTAACACACTATTTATTGAGGGCAAATATAAGATAATAGATATTATAGGGTGTTTGCAAGAAGACAGGGATTGTGTTGTGGATACCACACCAAAAAGATATAAAAGGCTGTCTGTGGGTGAACATACATTCTCTGACCACAGAAGATATGCAGCCTTGGAACAGCCATTGATAGAAGACAATTTAGTCATTCAGTCCTCCAAATTACACATCATACCCACCTAGCTTAATTTTAGAGAACCATCCACTTCTTTTTTAATAAAAAGGGGGGGAAATATAGGTACTGGTTGCTGAGACAAGTGAGGAGTTTCATTTGCCTCCAACCCCCAATAAAATACTTTTGAAATGTATATTCAAAACTCTCTCAAGTAAATCATGATGCAAGGATGTACGAATAATTTTTTTTTTTTTTACTTAATATCATTTGCATTCCTACTGCTAATTTTTTCACATCTTTGATATACTTATTAAAAGGCTGTAGCCTCATTCATTTTTGTTACAGTTTTCAGATACTGAGATGCAACTGCAATATCAAATTCAATACTATTGGATATATATAGAGAGAGAGAAAACACACATTACACTAGACACCTCCAAGGACAACAGTATAGAACACAATAATGAACAGTTATTGCAAACTTGATTAAGCCATTAGGTGGTAGGTGACGTTCTCTAGTCATCCACGTATCTGCCTCAATCCTCCCCTTCCCTCAGTAGGACCTGCAGAGGCTTATTTACATTCAGCACAATACATAAGAATCCCCTCGCCCACAAAATTTAGCTTTTCCTTTCTGCATCTTAAAAGTAGCTGCAAGTGAAAGAAGGCTTGCATCCCATTTTCTCCTATGGGAGAACAGTTCTAATGGACACAAAGGAAGAACAGAAACAAGTACGTGTGAAAGGCCAAGTTCTGTCCAGCAAGCGTATCCTCACAGAAGACAGAGGAGGAAAAGGTGCAAGTCAGGGCAGAATGGGACCCTGTGGATTTAGTTTTGAGTTCTACTGACTGCAAGTCATTCTAAAATGAGTTCGAGCATGATGGAGAGGAGAGAACATCGGCAGACAACTGGAGAGAAGAAGAGAACTACAAAGATGAGGTCAAACTAGTAGACTTGAAATTTGTAATTCTTTTAAGCACAGAAGCTCCAAGATTTCAACATTGCTGGGATAGAGAAAATGGGTGTCCTCTGAGAATTACTTTAATTGCTATACTACAGCAAAGTACTAGAAAATAAAGACTGAGTGTTCCAACAACTTTACATCAGAGCAGGTTCAAAGTTTAGTGTGTTAGTATACAGCCAACACAAAAATATTTCAAAGTTTAAAAAAAAAAAAAAAAAAAAAAAGAATGCCCTCTAATGCAACAGCAGGAACTAGTGAACCAAACACTGGAAAGGTACTTTCGTGAATAAAGGCGGAACTGCATTTAAAGTGCGACAATTCACTATGCCACTTCCATACTGCAAAGAGAATGAACCCTTCCAAATCATCTTTCAGTCCCTGCATTGCTTTAAAAATAAAAAAATAAAAACACCTGAGAACGAGTAAGGCTGGATTAGAAACCCACTCAACTGCAAAAGGTCAGTCTTTGATTTTTGTTCATCCATAATAGGTTTGCTGTCAGAGGTCAAAACTTTTCATTATGGCATCATGGTCAAACTTGAAGCTCAAGAAAGCTCTTGATGAGAAAGTGATTTTGTAATGACCATTACATGCCACAGAGTGTGCCTCTGTATGTTCCAGCAGGTCTTCAATGGAGAAACACACATCATACGCTGCTGCATCTGCTTAAAAAAAAAAAAAAAAGACAAAAATATTTTCTACAGTTGAAAGTTAAGTGGTATTGATCAATGAAGAGGTCATTGAAAATATGCTACTATTTAGGTTTAAAAAGCTGTACATGTTCAATTAGCATTTACTCACACTGGCAATTTTATCAGTTTGGTCATCATTTCAAACAAAAAGCGTAGCAAGGAATTCCTTATCTTTATTGGCCACCTAGTGGTCAAAACAAGTTTTGTAGGAGTTACATTAGCAGTTTTTACCCAAATGGTTAATTCTCTTCTGTAAAGCACAGGTTAGGGCAATAATTTTTTGCCAAGGTCCAAATTTCTTGGTCAAGGTATAGTCAAGGTCCAGACTCCAGAGAAAACAACCAGTAAATAAAAAGAGTTTGCAGTCCATTCAAAAGCATCTGGTGATCTGGATTTGGCCCGCCATCTGCCTATTGACTACCCCTGAGTTAGGGTGACAAACTGCTTGGACACAGTCCCATTCCAAAGTGGAGACTGGAGAAGGGGCTGGAGAGCCCCTCGGGGGCCTTAAGTCGGGTGGTGGCAATTTCAGAACAGCCCTTGCACCATCAGCAGCATCAGATGCTCCAGCTCCTATACTACCATGAGAAGCCTTTTCAGTGACCTATTCAAATGGTCACCACCATGGCATGCCTCCCTGAGGCCCAGCCCAGATATACAGTGCTTTACTTTCTGCATCAACGGTGATCTATGAGCAATTGTAAATTCCACCATCCTACAGATTTCACAACTAAGGTAAGGCATCTTAAACCTTCATTTAATAAAAGGTTTCCCTTTTCGGCATGTACTGTAATAAGTTGATGCAGTCTCAAAAATTGTTTCAAGTGAAAAATTAGTATGTTCACATACAAATGAAAATTAATATACTTGCCTGTTTCAAAGTTATCCTGAAGTCTTCTTGGATTAAGTTTTTTTTCACATTTCTGATTAAGAAAATGAGCATACATTATACTCTTCAAAATACGTGCCTTAATTTTAACAGTACTCAAGGAAATAAATGTAATTAATGGTATTTTATGGTGACTGAATAAGTTAATGTCATGGGATTTAGGGTCTGTTGAGGCAGAACTTGATCCCATTGTGCCATGGATATAGGTTTGAAGCCTACACCTCAAACTGTAGCCAGGCAGAAAGTAGGGGAGTGACTAGGCATATACTTTACATTTTCAAACACAGTGGCTTTGCCATACCAGAGTAAAATATTTATACACATTTTTAAGCAGCAGATATTTTGCCATTGCAATGTACAATACTAGACCACTCTCTGTCAAATACCTGGAATATTGCAGGAAGGATCACTTTAATATGCATTAGAATTCAATTACTAAATGCGAATTGGATAAATTATATTATTCAATGCTCTGCAAGTGTACATGTATATGGGATGAGAAACGTCAACTGCAGTTCGTACATTGAACACTATGGTTAAGATCTCTTTTCATGGACATGCAATTTAACATTCCATCACCAAAACCTTAGTTTGCGCACACAGTTAAATGTCACCAAAATTTGTTAATGCAAGAACTATTGCTGTCAATCTTACCAATGTATGGTTCTGTTTCGTTGGCTGACTGTGGACCCCATTTGTCCTCTTCTTTTGGTTAGAAGTGTCTTGATATTGCTTTCTACCATTACCCCTCATGTTCTGAGTCAGCCACACCCAAAAAAGGTAATACAAATAAAAGTTAAGTGCTAGTGTCATATTCCACTACATTATGATACCACTTATATAGCAACTGTCATCCAAGTACCTCAAATCATTTTAAGAATTAGAAACTGAGGCACAAGAAAGTTATAGCTACTGTTCAAGGTTACTCGGCAAGCCAGTGGCAGAGGTGGGAAAAGACTCTCCATCTGTTGATACCCAGTTCCCTGGTCTAATCACTAGACAATGCTATTTCCATGATATAATGAAGTCCCATCACTTAAAGAAATAAACCCAAGAGTCTCTCCCCCTACAAAAAAAAATAATAATTAAGTGAGTCTGAACAAAGCACTACCACTGATTTTAAGGGTCCAAACAAATCAAACCTACCTTTATTTTTAGAGCTTCAGACATCTCAGAATGATTGTTATATGGCTTCTGTTGCTGTGGTTGTCTGTACTTTGTCCACTGGTCTCCTGGAGAGCCATCTGTAAACACCTGCTGGCTATAACGAAGTTTGGATCTATCCCATTAAAAAAAAAGTTTTATCTGCAAAAGAACTTTGATTCAAGACTATTATGATCAGAACAGAAATACACATTGTTCTGCTTCTCCAGACAATCTTACAAGGTAAGCTAAAGCAGAGAAACATTGGATCTTAAACTTAATATTCTCTCCACTCACTAAACTGGTTTTGCTTATTGGGGAAGAGTTATGCACAAAGGGGAAAAAATATGACTTCATAAAGCAACAGTATGTGACAAGTAAAAGACAGTTACCTTTTCCGCAACTGGTGTTCTCCAAGATGTGTTGCTCATATCTATTCCACAATAGGTGTGCGTGCTTGCCACGTGCACCGGTGCCAGAAGTTTTTCCCTAGCAGTACCCATAAGGGAGCGACCCAGAGACCCCTGGAGTGGCGCCTCCATGGCGCGGTATAAGGGGCGCTGCACGCTTCCCCCATCCTCAGTTCCTTGTTGCCAGACAACTCTGACAGAGGGTAAGGAGGGAGGGATGTGGAATAGACATGAGCAACACACATCTCGAAGAACACCAGTTACAGAAAAGGTAGCTGTCTTTTCTTCTTCGAGTGATTGCTCATGTGTATTCCACAATAAGTGATTCCAAGCTATATCTGTTGGAGGTGGGTAGGAATTCACAAATTCTTGGGACGAAGCACAGCCCTGCCGAACCCGGCATCATCCCTGGTCTGGGAGACGATCGCATAGTGCAAAGTGAATGTGTGAACTGAAGACCACGTGGCAGCCCTACAAGTGTCCTGAATGGGGACGTGGGCCAAAAAGGCAGTCGACGAAGAGGAGTGCTAGGCAGAGACGGGCTCCACCTAATGAAGTTAGGGAAGAGCATCTTCGCAAGCAGGCTGGCTAACCTAGTGAGGAGGGCTTTAAACTAGGTTCACAGGGGGAAGGAGACCAAAGCCCTGAGGTAAGTGGGGAAATGGGATACCAGGAGGAAGCACGAGCAGGAGAGTGCAAGAGGGGAGGACTCCTGTCTCAGACTGAGAAAGCGGGACAATCAGCGAGTTATCTTAAGTGCCTATACACAAATGCAAAAAGCCTGGGAAACAAGCAGGGAGAACTGGAAGTCCTGGCACAGTCAGTGAACTATGATGTGATTGGAATAACAGAGACTTGGTGGGATAACTCACATGACTGGAGTACTGTCATGGATGGATATAAACTGTTCAGGAAGGACAGGCAGGGCAGAAAAGGTGGGGGAGTTGCATTGTATGTAAGAGAGGAGTATGACTGCTCAGAGCTCCAGTATGAAACTGCAGAAAAACCTGAGAGTCTCTGGATTAAGTTTAGAAGTGTGAGCAACAAGGGTGATGTCGTGGTGGGAGTCTGCTACAGACCACCGGGCCAGGGGGACGAGGCTTTCTTCGGGCAACTAGCAGAAGTTACTAGATCGCAGGCCCTGGTTCTCATGGGAGACTTTAATCACCCTGATATCTGCTGGGAGAGCAATACAGCGGTGCACAGACAATCCAGGAAGTTTTTGGAAAGTGTAGGGGACAATTTCCTGGTGCAAGTGCTGGAGGAACCAACTAGGGGCAGAGCTCTTCTAGACCTGCTGCTCACAAACAGGGAAGAATTAGTAGGGGAAGCAAAAGTGGATGGGAACCTGGGAGGCAGTGACCATGAGATGGTTGAGTTCAGGATCCTGACACAAGGAAGAAAGGACAGCAGCAGAATATGAACCCTGGACTTCAGAAAAGCAGACTTTGACTCCCTCAGGGAACAGATGGGCAGGATCCCCTGGGAGAATAACATGAGGGGAAAAAGGAATCCAGAAGAGCTGGCTGTATTTTCAAGAATCCTTATTGAGGTTGCAGGAACAAACCATCCTGATGTGTAGAAAGAACAGTAAATATGGCAGATGACCAGATTGGCTTAACAGTGAAATCCTTGCTGATCTTAAACACAAAAAAGAAGCTTACAAGAAGTGGAAGATTGGACAAATGACCAGGGAGGAGTATAAAAATATTGTTCAGGCATGCAGGAGTGAAATCAGGAAGGCCAAATCACACTTGGAGTTGCAGCTAGCAAGAGATGTTAAGAGTAACAAGAAGGGTTTCTTCAGGTATGTAAGCAACAAGAAGGTGGTCAAGGAAAGTGTGGGCCCCTTACTGAATGAGGGAGGCAACCTAGTGACCGAGGATGTGGAAAAAGCTAATGTACTCAATGCTTTTTTTTGCCTCTGTCTTCACAAACAAGGTCAGTTCCGACTGCTGCACTGGGCAGCACAGTATGGGGAGGAGGTGACCAGCCCTCTGTGGAAAAAGAAGTGGTTCGGGACTATTTAGAAAAACTGGATGAGCACAAGTCCATGGGGCCGGATGCGCTGCATCCGAGGGTGCTAAAGGAGTTGGCGGATGTGATTGCAGAGCCATTGGCCATTATCTTTGAAAACTCATGGCGATCGGGGGAGGTTCCGGATGACTGGGAAAAGGCTAATGTAGTGCCCATCTTTAAAAAAGGGAAGGAGGAGGATCCGGGGAACTACAGGCCAGTCAGCCTCACCTCAGTCCCTGGAAAAATCATGGAGCAGGTCCTCAAGGAATCAATTCTGAAGCACTTAGAGGAGAGGAAAGTGATCAGGAACAGTCAACATGGATTCACCAAGGGCAAGTCATGCCTGACTAACCTAATTGCCTTTTATGATGAGATAACTGGCTCTGTGGATGAAGGGAAAGCAGTGGATGTGTTATTCCTTGACTTTAGCAAAGCTTTTGATACGGTCTCCACAGTATTCTTGCCAGCAAGTTAAAGAAGTATGGGCTGGATGAATGGACTATAAGGTGGATAGAAAGCTGGCTAGACTGTCGGGCTCAACGGGTAGTGATCAATGGCTCCATGTCTAGTTGGCAGCCGGTATCAAGCGGAGTGCCCCAAGGGTCGGTCCTGGGGCCGGTTTTGTTCCATATCTTCATTAATGATCTGGAGGATGGCGTGGACTGCACTCTCAGCAAGTTTGCAGATGACACTAAATTGGGAGGAGTGTAGGGATAGGATACAGAGGGACCTACACAAATTAGAGGATTGGGCCAAAAGAAACCTGATGAGGTTCAACAAGGACAAGTGCAGAGTCCTGCACTTAGGATGGAAGAATCCCATTCGCTGTTACATACTAGGGACCGAATGGCTAGGAAGTAGTTCTGCAGAAAAGGACCTGGGGGTTACAGTGGACGAGAAGCTGGATATGAGTCAACAGCGTGCCCTTGTTGCCAAGCCTTGCCAGCAGATCGAGGAACATGATCATTCCCCTCTATTCAACATTGGTGAGGCCTTATCTGGAGTAGTGTGTCCAGTTTTGGGCCCCACGCTACAAGAAGGATGTGGAACAATTGGAGTCTAGCGGAGGGCAACAAAAATGATTAGGGGCCTGGAGCACATGATTTATGAGGAGAGGCTGAGGGAACTGGGATTGTTTAGTCTGCAGAAGAGAAGAATGAGGGGGGATTTGATAGCTGCTTTCAACTACCTGAGAGGGGGTTCCAAAGAGGATGGATCTAGACTGTTCTCAGTGGTACCAGATGACAGAACAAGGAGTAATGGTCTCAAGTTGCAGTGGGGGAGGTTTAGGTTGGATATTAGGAAACACTATTTCACTAGGAGGGTGGTGAAGCACTGGAATGGATTACCTAGGGAGGTGGTGGAATCTCCTTCCTTAGAGGTCTTTATGGTCAGGCTTGACAAAGCCCTGGCTGGTATGATTTAGTTGGGATTTGGTCCTGCTTTGTGCGGGGGGTTGGACTAGATGGAGGGAGGCAGGACTGTAATCGCCTCATCCGGGGAGGGTGAGGAGGCCGGTGCGGTACTTTGGGTGTCCATCGGCACCAGAGGGTCCATCACCTGGTTGGTCTCCGCGCATGGTGCCAAGGATGTATGTCCCACCGTCTCCTTCCTCGGAGGTCTGGAGAGGGAGGCCGATGGTCCTTCTGAGGCTCTGGCCACCGAGCAAGCCCCCACCGGGGGCTGCGTTGGAGGCCACGGTGCCCACTGGTACCATTAGGCCGGCCACGGGGTCTGGTGCCACTGCACCTACTGAGGCACTGGCAGGGCCGGCTGTTCGGCCTGGCTCATCGATGAACAACTATGAAGGGAGGCTAGGCTGACGTACGACCTGCCGCTGTCCCCGGCCAGGAGGAGCGGCGCCAACCACGGGACCATGATCCCAACATGGAGGACCAGTACCATCGGTAACAGCTGCGCCGCGATCGGCTCCGGTGGTCGGACCCACGGAGGTGGTGCCATGGCGGGGTCCTAGAGCGGGACGCCGAAGGGAACGAGATCGACGTCTATGCCAAGACCGGCTACGATAACCCCTCTGAGACAAGGCCTCTGGTGACGTCTGCCTCGGTCCCGTCGGTGTTCGCTCCTCGAGGCAGAGCAGTGCCAAGAGTCTCGGTCAGACGGAACCCAAACAGACAGCCTGGTGGGCATCGAGGGCGATCCACGTGGACTTCGCCCTGAATGATCGCTGGGTGGCGAACGGCGTCGGGAACGTTCCCTTGACCGAGACCAGTACCGAGCTGGGGGCAACTGCAGAGATCCCAGCAGCGGCTTGCCTCTGGAGCACAGGGCCGACATCGGCGGTGCTCCTGGTACCGGCATGGACATAACATCCCGGGCCACCTGCAGGGCCTTCGGTGTGGAGGGTGTCTAGACATCCGGGGAGGCCTGTTCCAAATGGGCCGGGCTACTCCGCTCGACTTGAGTCGGCGGTCTAGTGGCCGGTGGGTATCGAGGACTGCCCGACATGGATCTAGCCTCTGTCCCGGGTTTACTCTGGTGCCACAGCAAAGAAGGCCTCTTTCTAGCCTTCTTGGCATGCCCCGTGGACAGGGAGCGGTGCCAACTAGTCGATGGCGCCAAAGGTCGCCATGCACCGACACCGCAGTGCCCGGTGCTGACTCAGAGTGGCACGCTGGAGCCAGGGTCAGCGCCGACTCCATCAGAATAGCCTGGAGCCTAATCTCCCTTTCTTTCTTGGTCCTAGGCTTAAACGACTTGCAAATCTTGCTGTGATCGCTGAGATAGGTTTCCCCCAAACAGCACAGACAGTCCGCGTGCGGATCACTCAGTGGCATAGATCACCTACAAGTGTCACACAGCTTAAAACCCCGGGCATGCCCCAGCCCAGGAGCTCTAGCTAAACTAAACTAACTACAGGTACCATACACTGAACGAACAAGCAGTTTTGGGGACGAGCTACAGCAAAGCTGGAGCAGAGCAGTTCCGAAGCACCTTCACTGGCGGCAAGAAGGAACTGAGGGTGGGAGGAGCGCACAGCACCCCGTATACTGCGCCATGGAGGCGCCACTCCAGGGGTCGCTGGGGCGCTCCCCTACAGGTACTGCTAGGGGAAAAACTTCCGGCACCGGTGCACGTGGCGAGCACGCACACCTATTGTGGAATACACACATGAGCAATCACTCGAAGAAGAAAAACAAGTTTTCTTATTCTAGAATCCTGTCACCTGTAGTGTTGCATGGATACCAAGTGGGTACACTTTGATACTTTATTTATGATACCAGTGTTGGTGCTGAACTGACCCAGATTGCTGATGGGGAACCTCCCTTTGTCAACCTGAACTGGTCTGAGAAGTTGCTCAGTCACATGACTGCTAGGAAACCCTATGACAAAATTGCCCATTTTCATCTAAGACCACCCTGTGATTTAACATGTTACAAGATCATTTTTTTCAATCACCCCCGAATCACCATGACAACATTGGTTTTATCCAACTTTCTTTGAAATTGACATTACTTTGAAATTACTTTTAAATACCATGGCTATTACTGATTCTTCCTGACTTAGTTCCATCATTTTTGGCACCTCTCACTCCTTTCAGCACTACACTGATTATTTTAGAAAGTATATCTACCTGTTCTACTTTCTGATAAAGAATTTCTGTTTTATAAAAAGTTTCTCCTTCACTTGCTTTTCATAGTCCCATATAGGAACTCAGGACATTCTCTCAGTTTTGCCATATTCTAAAATTTTCCATACAGTAGTTTCAAGCACATCAGGGCACTAATTAACCTCTCCATACTACTAACGGTCCTATGGATCTCTCTATAATCTATTATATTAACCCATTCTGAAAAAAAGAATGGACATTCTTCATCTTTGTGTAGCCAAGGATTTATAAATGTTGTTGACAGACATGTCAAAATTATCTAATTTCTTACCTTGTTTTCTCCATGTTGAGCTTGGATGGTGTGCTCCCAGTGGATGAAAATCCATTGTCACTATCAGAGGAGTCCCCATATCTTCGAGAAAGCCAGTCTCTCAATGGTCTGTGAACAAGTTAGTGTTTTGTCAACAAAATCCAGCATCCTGAAAACAAGAGGCTAGATTTTGGCTTATCCTGAACATACCTGATGAAGGGAATGGCCATGAAAAACTTGTTAGGCGCCAAACCTAGCTTGGACTTTGGGGTCATGTCATTTCTATGGCATGGTAATTTGTCAATTGAGAACCATTCAATGTTCTGAAACACAGGAAAAAGTAATTACTTTAGTGAAGTCATCAAGGGACTTAAGCGAATACACATCATCCACAATGATTTTCTTTAAAATCAAAAAACTACAGCAAGAGTCTGAATTAATAAATCATGACAGAGCTGCTAACCAATACAGGTTATTTAAAATAACGTTAGGATCACTTTTCTGGCCACAACCACAATGTAACAGACATTACAATGCAAGTTTGCAGTGTTGTTGTAGCTGTGTTGGTCCCAGAATGAGAGAGGGACCTGAAGAAGAGCTCTGTGTAACTCAAAAGCCTGTCTCTTACACCAACAAAGGTGGTCCATTAAAAGATATTATACCACCTTGTGTCTCTGTTACAATACATAAACACTGTCGGATGACAGAATCCCTAAAATGTGGAACGCAGTACACGATACCTCAGCTATTGAAAGTTAGTTCACTTAAAATAAGGTCTGCAACAAACAACAACAACATAGTTCTTGACTGTGCACTGAATGTCCTAGAGAGAACAATGGTAATTAGAGGATACAAATAACTTTCAAAGCTTGTCTCTGTCCCCCCGCCACCTCACACGATATGCACTCAGGGGAGAGCATGCAACATGCTGAAGGGCCTTTACCCAGAATACAAAAATGGAAATCAAGGTTTTAACTAGACCAGCGGTTCTTAAACTGTGGGTCAGGACCCCAAAGTGGGTCGCGACTCCACTTTAATGGGGTCACCAGGGCTGGCATTAGACTTGCTGGGGCCCTGGGTGGTGGGGCTCAGGCTTCGGCTGCAGCCCTGGATGGCAGGGCTCAGGTTACAGACCCCCTGCCCGGGGCTGAAGCCCTTGGACTTCGCCCACCCTCCGCCCACTTGGGGCCTTGAGTTTCAGCTTTGGCTTCAGTCCTGGGTGGCGGGGCTGAAGCCTTTGGGCTTCAGCTTTGCCCCCCCCCCCCAACCCGGAGCTTGGGCAGGCTCAGGCTGCAGTCCCCGCTCCTGGGGTTGTGTAGTAATTTTTTTGTCAGCAGGGGGTCACATGAAGTTTGAGAACTCCTGAAAGGGGTTTGAGAACCAAGTCAAGAGGGTCCTTAGACAAGGAGCTAGTAATTTACAACTCTGGGGAACCAACCTAAGGGGGAGAAGAGGAATGTTTAATAATGTCCTGTTGTCCCTATTACACTTGTATTCAAAAGATATAGCTAATGTTGGCATTAAAACTAGTCTTAAAACAAAATTACTGTTAAAGTTTAAATGTTACTGCATGACGAGAGAAATTCAAGTTTCAGAAGGTGATGAACGTCGTAGGCAGTGACAAGCACTTCTCAGCACATTAGGCACTTTAATTTCTTCTCCATCCCAACAGCTTTCTAGAAGTCCACTGAGTACAAAAATGGTTGGCTCCCATTGTGTCCCACAGCCAAGTCTACTCTTTGCTACCTATCGTACACTAGATCTGGACTGTACAGACTGCTTATAGAAATAAGGCAAGCCCCATTTTCCTCTTCCAATGCGTAGATTAACGTACAGTATCCTTAAATATTTATATCCTTACAGAAAAATATGTATAAGACATAAAAAAAGGTTAACTACAAAAAATATTTACGAGAAGAGAAAGTGGGATGTGCTTTATTGTTAGTCAGCCTGCACTCCAGTGCCAATTTATGATGGAGCCAGGTGTCACAATTAGCAGTTGGCCAGCAATCACTCTTCACATCAGACCTGCAGAAAGTTGACAAAACCTAAAGTGATGCTGCTTTTTATTCCATTTGGGGCATTCTTCACCTTTTAGCTTTAAATCAACCTTTGCTGAGGTAGTGGCAACCTGAAAAATCTTTAGAAATAAATATAACTATGTGTACCCGAATTTCTCTTCTGGTTTTGGGGTTGAATTTTGTGTCCTTTGGAACTCCTGGAATGATGTACAAGCGTGCTAGCTGATCATTGATTCGTAGTTCAATATAGTCATCTTTGCAGATGTAATCTTTGATATCAAAACCAGTTTCTTCAAACACCTGAGAAGCACACAGATCAAATTAGAATTGTTCAAGTCATACCTTCAAATAGATTTTTGAAAGGCTAAATCATTAGACGGGAACTCTTTATTACTAGTTCTGATAGTGATTGTAATATATTTGTACATATGCACAGACACATGATGAAAGAGCATAACCTCTGTACATTCAGATTTTGTCCACTGCAGCTCAAGAGTGTGAAGTGGAAAAGAATTTAGATAATATGTGAAAGAGCACGCTAACAAGCAAATACAGGGAAACAGCATGCCTGCCTATTGATGATGCTGGACACATGAAAAAGTATTTTACTTCAGACAAAAGTTAAACATATTGGATCTAAAGAGAGTTTAGCCATCCAGAAAGTTATAGGAAAACATAAAAATTCCTTACTTGGTTTAGTTCTCTCCCATCCTACAGTACTAATAATGCCCTATGAACCCCCTACAAAATATTCATTCTTACATCAGTTCTTGTATCAAAATTCAGCAGCACCATAAATTACTCTGAGTAATATATATTTACTAACATCCAGATTAAGTTACTAAATTCAAACTGGGCATCCAAGCTGATAATGGGGATATGGAACTCAGAATTACTCAGTCTGCTGACATACTATTACAACCTGTTACTCAGAAGGAATTAAAGTGCTAAGCCTGTCACAGGATCACTATATACACTAAAAAAAAGTATATTATGGATCAACATTTTACTGGAGTATTTCACATTTCACCATTGGAGGGGGGGGAAGATCCTACCTCTTAGATATGGACACAAACTAAGACTAGATGTAGATTAAAAAAAAAAAAAAAGATTTCATCCACTTCATATTACACCTCTACCTCGATATAACTCTGTCCTCGGGAGCCAAAAAATCTTACCGCGTTATAGGTGAAACGGTGTTATATTGAACTTGCTTTGATCCACCGAAGTGCGCAGCCCCGCCCCCCCAGAGCACTGCTTTACCACGTTATATCCGAATGTGCGTTATATCGGGTTGCGTTATATCGAGGTAGTGGTGTATAACAATTTATACTCCTACCAGGTATCATTACTGAGACGAGCAGAACGTGCAGTTATAAGATAATAATAATAATGACGTATAAGGCTATTATTAGTTGCAAAGTAATGTATGGGGTGAGGGGACTCCAGTTTCTCCCCTTCTCACCACACACGCCATTTTAGAAACTGAAAAACTAGCATTACTGGAAGCTTTTGATCAGTGCCCTGGACTGAAAATGTTGCAAATGCCTTACAAAAAAGCAGCCCTGAGGAATCTTAATGAAGACATGTATATCTGTGAACCAACACATACAACAAACTGGTTTGAAACGAAGTCTGTTCAGCATGACAAATTTCATTGAGATCTGTGCCCACCTCCATATAAACTGGGTCTTCTTGATTAAACAGGTTTTCACAGTCTAGCTTGTCCCTATGAAGTAAGCATTGCTCTCTGGATTATTCATTTTGCCAAATACATAAGAAAAATAATTTGTAAAAATCTGTAAATTAAGTCTCTATGTAGTTATGGGCAGACTGCTGGGAGTACAGATTTTCTAGAAGCAACAACCCAGCTTCATATACATTGAAAATTTTTCAAAGATTAATGAAAAGGGAGCAAATTAAAATGCAACTGATGTCTATCAGTTCCTCCTATGTGGCAAGACCATATTTACAAAAACATGGGAAGCTGTTTCATAGTGAGGAGTAAAGTTTGAGGGTCTGACATAAAAGCTTTTAAATAGGAAAGATTATTATATGCCCTAATAATCTTTAATACAGTGGTTCTCAAAGTTTTGTATTGGTGACCCCTTTTACATAGCAAACCTCTGAGTGCGACCCCCTTTATAAATTAAAAACACTTTTTTATATATTTAACACCATTATAAATGCTGGAGGCAAAGTGAGGTTTGGGGTAGAGGCTGACAGCTTATGACTCCCCATGTAATAACCTCGTGACCCCCTAAAGGTCCCGACCCCCAGTTTGAGTTCCCCTGCTTTAATATTTAATACATGAAATGGATGACAGATCTAGGAGATGAACACAAAATTTGTGTGTATTTCAGTGCCAAAAGAAAGTCAACTTGTTTTACGGTCTCTGGGGACAAATGCAAGAGCTTTAAAAAAGAAAGAAAGAAAAGTGACAGTTCGCCTGATGCTATTAACTTCAGAGTAGTCTCCTATGCAAAGGGAAAGTGTTGGGTTAGAATAGAAGTTAGGCAAAAAAAATATACAAGTTTTGGTGAATGACGTTCTAAACCAGAGGTAGGCAAACTACGGCCCATGGGACCATCCTGCCCAGCCTCTGAGCTCCCGGCCGGGGAGGCTAGCCCCTAGCCCCTCCCCTGCTGTCCCCCGTCCCCCACAGCCTTAGCTCACCGCACCACCAGCACTCTGGCCCACCGCTCCTGCCGGGCAGCACGGCGGCGTGGCTGGCTCCAGCCAGGCAGCAGGGCTGCAAGCTCCTGCTGCTCTGTCCGGCATGGTAAGGGAGCGGAGAGCAGGATTGGATAAGGGGCAGAGGGTCCCGGAGGGCAGTCAGGGACGAGGAGCGGGGCAGCTGGATAAGGGGCAAGGAGTTCCAGGGGCAGTCAGAAGACAGGGAGTGGTTGGATAGGCGTGAGAGTCCTGGGGGGCCTGTCAGGGGTGGGGGTGTGGATAGAGGGGGGTTCCGGGGGGGCAGTTAGGGATGAGGGGGTCCTGGGAGGGGGCGGTCAGGGGACAAGGAGCAGGGGGGTTGGATGGGTCAGAGGTTTTGAGGGGGGCAGTCAGGGGGCGAAAAGTGGGAGGGGCGGATAGGGGGCGAGGGCCAGGCTGTTTAGGGAGGCACAGCCTTCCCTACCCAGCCCGCCATACAGTTTCACAACCCCGATGTGGCCCTTGGGCCAAAAAGTTTGCCCACCCCTGTTCTAAACTGATGGTTTCTAAAAGCAATTCTACCCACAACACAGAAACGAAAACCAAGGTTTTTGTCGGATCAAGCCTATTCTCTCAACGCAGCTCCACGCAAAAGAACAAACAAGAAGATTAAGTGGCAAAAAACTTTGCTAACCCAAAGTCAAGGTTGCCTGGTTCTAGTTTGTGCCCCTCCAGAATATCAAGTTCCATGATACCTCAATTTGTGAAAACCAGGAAAAACAGAGTTAAGATACATTCCTACGTAACCTTAACTCTGCACCTCCTGGAGCCGTCAATAGCTACTGAGAATTATCTGCATGCACTCCAGCTGTATTCACTGTTAGCTGTATTAAACAGTGAAGGAATAACTCGAGCAGCTTTGAAGACTCGTCATTGGGAAATGAGAAGATCTGGTGGGCTGTGGCCTCTCAGGGTGCACGTGAGTCTCTCTTCCTAACCATCAAAGGAAAGAGGTGCATTTGTACCTTGGGAGTATGCCTTATTTCAGTTGCATTGTGTAGGCTGCGTTAGTAGGGGGGCACAGGGCTCTTCTTGCTATGGAAATTGTCAGTTGTTAGGTGAGCATGGTCTGTTAGTTAATGAGAGGTAAGTGACAATTATAGTGTTTGATGGTATTGTCCCTGAAGAATCCCATTTGAACTAGTATTTACACACATGCGGGGAGGGGGGGACTTTTCTGGAGGTGTCACAACCCGAGTAAATTTGCCTAATCAGCCCCTGCTGTTCTTCTATTTACCCTTCCCATGGAAATACTTACAATCACACAGTAACACATACACAACTTCATTTTCAATACAATGAACTCCAAAGATGTTTAAACTAATTCAGTAAGGTTTAATTCAACTCAAAGTTCACTGAGCATATTGCAGGCAATTGTCAGTCTGCCACAATGTCTTGTCAAATATTGTATAGCAGTGCACAATCTTGTCACCTGGTGGTAGTAGCTTTTAAAATACAGAAGTACAAAATGAATTCATTTACAACAGCCTTCTTTAGTATATACTCCTGGTAGAATTCTGCGCCAAAAAAAAATAAAATTCTGCATATAGTATTTTTAAATTCTGCATATTTTATTTGTCAAAACAACAATATAATCACGCCAGTTTCAATTATTTTGGCAATTTATTTCAAAATACCTGTCAGCAAGTATATCTAACAATACAGACAACAAAAAAAGATTCAGGCTATGTTTTTTGACAAATAGATTCCTTACTTGGCATATTTATACAAAACTGAGTAATAATTCATTTACACTACAATACAGAAACATATTTCCCACACCCCGCAGCAGCAGTGCAAAGGCTTGGGGGAATCAGAGGTAATGGAGGAGCTAAGGGACAGGGAATTAATTGCTGGGAAGGAGCCTGGGAGTGAACCTGAAGGGTTGCTGGGTGTGGGTGGGAGAAGTATGGAACAGGTGTTTGTTTGGTGGGGGGGGGGGGGGGGGGGGGAGTTGGAGAGCCTACCCCATACAGATCCTGGCTGACCCCTAGCCTCTCCCATTCAGTCAGGCACATCTGACACCCCTGTCCCTGCATTCCCCCTCCTATTCAGCCAATGGCTCAACCCTGTCACCCCACTAGCTCCTCTGCCCCCACCTGTCTGTCCCCCCAGCACTACCCCTCCTGAACCGCAGTCTATGTGACACCACCACCACCCCCAGCAGCCCAGGTGTTCCGCTCTGTCTGTGCGCCCTCACTTGGCCCCAAGGGCAGTGCACTGTGCAGCCACTGGCCCCTCCGACCCTGAGCTCACTGTCCTCTCTTCTGGTGCCACAGCAGCCCTGCAAAGGTGGGGGGGGGGGCGGGAGAGAGAGAGAAGGGGAAGAACATGATAGGTGTAACTGCAGTATCTCCCCAGCAGAATCTGTTTTCTGCAGGGGATGGGTGACAAAATCTGCAGGGGACATGCATTCTGCATGTGTGCAGAATTCCCACAGGAGTAAACACCTTTAGGGTACATCTACATGACAGATACTACACCAGCTTAGTGATGCTGGCCTAACGCTGTAGTGTAAATGCAGCCTATGCCTAGAGAAGGGATTTTCCATCGGTGTAAAAGCATCACCTTCCTGAAAAGTAGCTACATTGACAGAAGCATTTTCCCATCAACATAGCGACGTCTACACTAGGGATTAGGTAGGTCTAGATACATCAGTCAGGAGTGTTGTTTTTCATACCCTGACAGATGTAGTTATTAAAAGTTCAGTTGACAAAGCTACAGCATGGTCTATGTTTATTAGCTGACTTGACCCTGTCTTAATTTTGTAAGTTAGAACTCATTTTAAATTTTTCTTGCATGGGAATGGACTTAAAATAGTATAACATATGTCCCATCTTCATATTTTTGGCACTGTAACCAGTACCTGAGTTGTGTAATTTATAGTTCAAAGAAAACAACCAAGTTACAGATTTTGCACCATTTTTATGGCACCTGTTATAGTGTAGCTGGGGGTCTTGCAGCTTATCTAAATTTGTTTTCTGTATCTCATACTTGATTTACAACATTAATGTACATTTTTATGATGCTCAAAGTGATTCTCCTTATCCATCTTTATATCTATGAGCATAATTGTCTTTTATCCTCTCCCTGTACATTATTTTAGATTAGAGTCTGTCTAGATGACATTACAGTGGACCCCTAGGTCTACTATAGTTAAGGTCAAGACCAGCTTTCTGTTTAAAACTCAACTCTTTCAAGTACTGTAAAATCTGTTACTTGGATTGCCATGAAATTTGGTGTGCCTCATGGGAGCGTTGGCTAGGGCCAATGATCCAAATTTGGGATTTTTTGACCAAGGAGTTCTTGAGATAGAGTTACCCCCCCAAAACAGCTTTTTCTCAAGGATGACACATTCTACTAGCATATTTTTTGCCCAGACCTGGAGCTCAAAAATGGCTCTGATCCTGGAACAAGAGTCTCACTCACTTGAGGGTTACTCCTCATGAGCGTATGGCACCATCTAGCCCTTCAGGGGAACAAAATTCAGAATCATACTTGCCAAAGAATTTGCTTCTTCAGTTAGGCGTGTGCCTAGTGCTCTTCAAATAAATGGATTATACTGGGCATGTGCAGACAGAGGACACGAGAATTTGTAGGTGGATAGTTTCCACTACAGCTGCATAAGCAGTAAGTCTTTCATTTTAAATCCACTCACCTAGTGTCATCTCAAGTCCCATGTGAGGCAGAAATATGAAGTAGTCAGAAGGCATACTGCTAAAATCTGTATGTCGGTGGGGGGGTTAGAAATCTAATCAAAATATTGTTGGACAAAAATTAGACATGCAAATGGTTGCTGAGATGGGATTGGGGGTGGGGGAATAGGGGAAAGGGGTTGGGAGGGACTCAGGTGAAGTAGGGTAAGGACATTCGGAAAGGAAACATGAGGTGAGTTGCAGGGGAACTGAGGGAGAACAGGGGCAGTGGTTCCTGTCAGCCCCCTCCTGTGTGCATGCACTGGCACCTTGTGGGCCTCTGAGCACTTCTCACTGGTCCCTCATGTGAGCTGGGATATATGGGGATCTTGCCCTTCTGGGGGTGTCCGAAGCTGGAGGGGACCTCTGCCCCTTTATTGCAGTCTGTTCCCCACATTCCTTCTCATGAGCCAGGTTTGGGGGATCCCCACCCTCTAGGGGTGTTTGTGCCCATCTCCCTACCCCCTGCATGTGAGGTGGATTTCGAGGGGCTTATCCGTCGGGGGAATCTGAGCCCTTCTTCCTGCTCCCCATAAAATCCCTGGGAATCCCCCCATAAGCATCCAGGGAAGCTCTGCCCCTCTGCATGTGAAGCTGAGAACAGTCATACTGGAAGCATGCACGAAGCACCAGCTACCGACACTGGGGTGAGAAGTTAAGACTGGGCATGCTTGATGAAACTCTCAGGCTGCTCAATACAGGGGAAGGAAGATGAGAACACCCACTGACATGAATGGTCCACTTTACATCTCTCAGAGATTCCTGTGCTTTCACAGTTATCCTGTGCTGGGGATCTGCATGCAGCAAAGCAGTTAATATAACAGAGGAGTGCCAGCTATGCTAAAACTGAGATTGAGACAACTTTTCTTTATTTAGAAATTAAGCTCTTCAGAGACTGCGTATTTTAAATATTGGTGACATACCTATTGCTATATGAATAATGCTCTACACTCAAGCACCGTGTGCAAGTCGGACAATCCCTTGACACAGTCTGATCTTATTTTCCTCCTTATATGAAGCTTCAGGTATCCTCTAAAATAGCCTGAGTAAGATGGTAGACACATTCCAGAAATTAGAAATGAAAAGCCTATGATTCGCCCATTCTTTCAACAGGTATACCAAGAAAAGCTATGAATCCTTAGATACTCATTTAATCCAGACAGGAAATCTCTAATGCTTTTAGTTTTTACAACCTTCCTTTGGTAATCTAATTCCATCTCCCAATAACTCCTTGAGTGCAGCATGAGACTTTATTAGCCCTATCTTTACATAACTACAAATATTATTAGTCATAAAATTAATATAACCTCTTTTTACATGCAGCTGCATTATGTTCCTAGCTTTCCTCAACAGTAAATTCCATAGTGACTGTAAACCCAAAAAACCTCTATCTGAAGTATTGTCTTAACCTTTTCCTGCCATTTACTTACAGTACCCCCTTGTTCCAGTATTACAGAACAACTTAAGTGGCAGCAGTGAAGTTGGAAGTTTATTAATATAGTGTCTTAGCCACAGGCCACTGTGCATAGTACAATAAATACAAGTTTTAAATGGACAGAACTCAAAACAAATACAAATTTTAAAAACACAAATTGAAAACACAAGAGTAACCATTCTCTAAAGTCTGTTTCAGCTTTAAAATCAGCACACCTAAAACAATACATGAAAATGAGATAAAATATTAAGAGTACATTATTTCATTTGGGTCAAAACAGGATGGATAATCAATTTAAAAAAAATTAAAAAAATCAGATTTTCAATTTCAGTTAAATACTGGGTTTTATTTAAATAAACCTATTTAAAATAAAATTTGACATGATGACAACCTATGTTAAGGTCTAAACTTACTATAATCTATTAAAATAATTTAAATTAAATGCAAAAAATATTAATCAGTACATATTTGCTGCCAAGTTTTAACGAAAGTCAATCTCCTGAACTGGTGGAAGTCATTGGCTAAGCATCTGGAACCAGAGTTTGTTAAAGCCCTAAACCCGCTTTTTACAGCAGTAGCCTCTTCTGCCGGTGAAAAGAAAATATTTTCTTCATTTCGGTTTATTCAACAAGTTCAGTTCAATGATTAGTTCACTGAAAGTTAAGAAACCAACTGGGGGTTGAAATAGCACAAAAGCTTGTTTTCCTCTTCTAATCTATGAATAAAAAACTATTTAAGAGTTCTAAAATCTTGAAGGACGTAGTGACCAAAAACAATCAGTTCCATTAATTAAATAGAGATCATACTTTAATAGATCAATTATAAATGCAAAACATTTTGATCAACTTTTTTTCCTTACGTATCCAGCACTTAAAGGTAGTTTTATTTAATACAAGCAAAAATGTTGTTTGTGTGTACTAAACTGAATTTGAATGTCCATTCAAATAGAGCTTGACAAAAAAATCACAAAAATAAAAAAAAAAATCTAGTAATTAAGAAATGCATCTTTCATCATTTTCTAAAATAAAAAAATTTCAAAATTAAGAATCTGAAAAAGGTAAAGTAAGCTAATTGCTTACTTGTAAAGAAATGTGTATACATATGTGTATCCTGGTTAGCAAAAAGATACATTAAATTTAATGTAAAGGCTATGCTTACTTGCTTTAATGGTTACCAACTAATTAAAATCAGCCTCTCTTTAGGAACATAATAAAAAGTATAAATGCAAAACAATCAAAATTGATTATTTAAGTCAATGTTTCCTACTTTGCTGATTTAAATCAATCCATCGTGGGTCAAACGTGGCCTCTCTTTCACATACGTTTTTCTTATTTAGGGGACCAAATGCTACAACAGTAGATGCCAACAAGAATACATAATTTAATAGGAGCTTTCTGTAGAAAGACACCACCAGATTGCTAGAATTTCTTTTTGGTGTGCATGAAAATCCTACTCTCAATATGGGTGAAGGGAATGTGTGTTAAACTACTTTGTCTTAAAGAAAAAGGATTTAAATGTATGGGTAAGGAATTTTTAAACATTCATCAATGGAACTCACCTCTCTAGCTGCACAGTCATGTGGAGCCTCTTCTTTATTTACTTTCCCTTTTGGAAATCCCCAGCCAGACTTTGCTAAATATCCTTGAACCAGCAGTACCTGCAGAAACCAAGCAATGCAGTAACGAAATACCCATTAATCTCATAGATTTGACTTAATTCCCAAAGTGATACTTTTGGTTGGAGGAAGAGACCTTTTGCCTGGCATTAGCATATGTTCATTAGCATTACAGCTTACCAGATTTAGCAATAATTACAAACTTTAGTATAGGGTTATATTAAAAAATATATAAAAATAAAGTTTGGTGTAAAGACAAGGAAAACGTGCAGCTGCCTTTGGTACAATGGTAATAAAGATACACCCAGCAAACCAGCAATGTACAGAAACTCAATACAAATGTGAAAAGATAATGTTTATGATTGTTAAAAAGCTAGTTAACATCCTTTCGGCCCAGCCCTCACCATCTTGTATAAATGTTCACAGATTAGCTTTACACTTACATTTTCAAGTGTCTCATCAAGAATAATTGCACCATAGGTTGGTACTCCCATTTTATACTCCTTCCACTCATCCAAAACCCTTTGCACATCTTCACCTTGAGGCAGTAAAAAAGGGCAATGGCTAAAGAGTATAGAAACATGTCAAGGAAACTAACTGCACACCTAGACCCACCCAAGACCAATGTTTACAAGTACTGCTTTCTATACGGAATAGGGTTTTATTTTCTAGATGTGTTTATTTGGAACCAGAAATTAAGGTAGAATGAATAATCCAATACTGAGTTATATTCTGCAGATTCAGGGAGCGAACAGTGATTTACCAACTCCAATACAAGCCATTTATACAATGGTTCCTCTTTAAAGTTAGAGATGCCTTCCTTTGTTCAAAGTACCCCAATAGTGGGATTTTTTTTTTTTTTTTTTTAAACAGAGCCAAGTTCTTACCATGAGAAAATTTTTAAAACGGCAGAAGTAAAATTAAAGACACATACCCTATTCTGATAAGCTATTTTTGTAAACCAAATATTCTGATTGTTTTAGTGAAGCATGAGTCCTCAAATGGGAGCTGGAGCAAAGATACTTAAGCATTATAAAAGCTGGAATACTGCATGCTATATTGGTTCCCACAATTGATAGCCAAACTATCATAAAAACCATACTTAAGAAGTTATGAATAAGGCTAAGATTTTGTCATGGATATTTTTAGTAAAAGTCAGGGAGAGGTCATGGGCAATAAAGAAAAATTCATGGAAGCCCGTGACTTGTCCCTGACTTTTACTAAAAATATCCATGATAAAATGGGAAGGGACTGGGCAGCTGCAGGGTAGCTGGGAGCCTCAGCTTGGGGGCCTGCTGCCTCAGCTCCTAGCCACAAAGACTGAAGTCACAGATTCCATGACTTCCACAACCTCAGTGACAAAACCGTACCTTATGATCTAATCACATTTAAAATAATGTTGCTTAAGCCATGTGTTCAGGTTTAAGACCCTTCATGAACATGATTAAAACCCACCATAAAAAAAGATGTAAATAATTTGAATTACTATATAAACACATCCTGAAAAAGCCACACTGCAAATGGCACAACCCCTCACAGTTACACACCATCCCCAGCCACGTGAAAGCCAGATAATTTATACTACTTCTAGCAGAATTAACACCCATTTCAGTTTCTCCATGGAAATCCATGAAGTTAGGGGAGGGAATATGTCACAGAGAGAACATTATATTAAGACCCTCCTGGCCCTGACCATGCTGAATACAGAAGGAAGTCTTGACTGTTAACTCTGTTACAGGATGAAGTCATAAAAGGCCTCAAAGCAGGCAATAAGCTGTTGAATTCTCAGGGCTCTTGGGAAGCTGGGGAAAAGATATTGAGTGTTGTTTTTTTTTAATGCTGTAATATTATGGCAGCTATGAACATTAAAAGACTTTCTAATGAAGCCAGTTTTGTGTCACTCAAACAAACAAAGGGACTGTTGTGCAAGCAGTTACTCAGGAAAACAAGATTTCACTACTATACTTCAGTATACATTTTATCCACAAGCATTGAAAAAACAGTAATTGTATCAATAAAAAGGATATCAGCTTTAGCAAAGTCTCTTATCCCACACTGAGGTAATCCTGGTGTGTTCTGCATGTAGAAATCCAAGTAAAACCAATGGGCAAGTTCAATCTGAAAACACACTCTGATTGCATTGTCTCTTTCCTCACTTGGAATGTGCAAAATAAATCGACTGCCGGAGGGAAAGAAAAAAAAAAGGGGGAGAGAAGAGAGCTAGATTAACAGAATTTGCAGATATAAGTTTTCAAAATGATATCAAACACTGAAAATGCATTACAGCATGGAGTTTCAAATTATAATGTACGGACCCCAGTTGCAGTAGTAGTCTGCACAATTAAAGGTTTTGAAATTCACGAAGCGGGGGCTTTTAGTATTGGGAGGGAAAGCAGATAATGAGATGCTCTCTCTTACAAAGTTGCGTTCAGAATGAACAATGGAGAACCCCTGGGTCACAACAACAAAACTAGAAACAAATCAATCTAAAATAAAATGTGGGGACAAGGGTAGGGACAGCCCATCCAATCAACTGGTACACATTAAAAAAAATGAATTTTAAACTCTCAGTAAAGATGTTTAATAAACTCAGATTAGGTGTGCTAAAATACACTCATCATGGACACTGTCAGGTTAAAGATATACCAAAAATGTTTCCTCACCTGGTATTAACACCATTATGAGTTATTAAAAATACTGTAACAAAATCTAATCTATTTTCCCCCCAATTTATCTTCATTTTTAATGCACAGTTTTCTCACTTTGAAGCTAGCAGTGGACAGGTTAAATAGAACTGGTTGGTTTCCCTGTACATTGTCACCTTCTCATGCACTAACACAGGGGTCAGCAACCTGCGGCACGTGAGATGATTTTTACTGGCACACTGCTGCCAGCCGGGGCTCCGGCCGCCGGCCCAGCTCAGCCCGCTGCCTGAGAGGGTGAACGGAACCCTAGGTTGGCAGAGGGTTGAGCTGGGCCGGTGGCCGGGACCCAGGCAGGCAGGAGCCGGCGGACGGAACCCCAGACCAGCAGTGGGCTGAGCAGGGCGGCGGAAAGAACCCCAGACCAGCAGCGGCTCACCCGCTGCTGATCTGGGGTTCCGCCGGCTCCTGCCAGCCGGGGTCCCGGCCGCCAGCCCCGCTTAGCCCACTGCCAGCCGGGGGTTCCGTTCACCACTGTTTTAAACCCAACTTTTGAGATTTGCCAGATAAGCCCCATAGGTGGACATGGGATGCTGATGCGACAGCTAAGAGTCAGAAAGATTGTTAATTTTTATAAGTTTTAATTATATTGAATAATCCCATATAAAAAAGTAAATTTTGCCGGGCCTGCTGCATGATGGTTCTCTTCTACTGAAATAACTGTATGCTTTAACAGACAACATTTTCAAGATTTATTATTATTCTAAGCACAGGATGTAGCATTCTGGCAAGGTAGAGAAAAATGTATTTTTCTATTTAATAAGTCTGTTTACTTTGTGAATTTCACTGTTTGATGGTACATGCCTTTTCCAATAACAGCAACATAAACATGAACATCAAATTCAAGAAGTAACACACAGGAGAGCATCCAGAGAGAAATGGGGAAACGACCAGAGCATGGTCTGCTCTCAGGCCCAACCATAAGAACACCAACAGGAAAACAGAAATCCCACCCCACACCTTTTTTTTTTAAGTTAATGTAGAACATACCCATGCACATAGTATCCAATAAATCAGCAACACAGCTCAACGTTAAGGTAAACTGCAATTTTTAAGAAGAGCAGGAATTATCTGCCAGTTACTGCAGTGGAAAAGCCATACAACTTCCCAGCAATGTTTGCTGCGTATACGCTTGTAATTTATTATGTTACAACATCAAGTTGATGAGCCTTTACATAAACCAGACTGACAATTTTGCTTAACAGTGGCATTATCCTTTTAAACAATTTCAACTTCGCAGTTCATTGGAACAAAAAGGAAAAGGCTGGGGAAAGCAAAGGAAAAAATTATAAAACCCGAAAAGAAACTTTAGGATATCTGGTCTATAGCCATCAATGAAGAAATGGGTTTCAACCATGTTCACCACAGACAGAATACACTGTTAGAGACTACGATTAATATTAAAATAACAGCTGTGACATGATATGGAAGATCTTATTTTAGAACTTACATTACCATTTGCACAGAGATCAGATTCCTTGAATGATGTAGTCTTTGGTCCTTTGTTCTAGCATTATCTGTCCTCATCTGGATTGAATTTAACTCTAGTGTTATGTTGCATATAGTTACACTCTGATCACATAATAATCTATGCAATAAATTTCATATTAAGATAATGGATGAAGTGATTTTTAAAAATGCCTTCTTCAGACTGTACAGATTCAAGCACACTGCTAATGGTAAAAGTATTATAAAATACTGGAGTGCCACAAATGCACAATGCTTTGCAAAAAAGTGAACATATTTCCTGTCTCACAGAGCTGATGAAAAGTGCTTAGGTACTATGGTGATGAAACTTAAGACAGATAAGAAGATCTGGAGTTGCCTGAAGAGGTAGGTTTTAATGAAGAATGCTTAGCAGAAAAGGACAGGGAGAGTATTTCTGATGTAGACATGGATGTTCTAGAAGGCACAAAGAAAGTGGTGGGGAAAGAAAATGAATGCATTAGTACTACAAGTGAACTGGGGGGGACTGGAGGACACGAGAAACAGTGAAATTAAAGAACAAAAGCGTAGATTGGAATGAGATACAATAAATCTGAATTTGGTCCAACAGAAAATTAAAAGCTAGAAAAGAATTTAAGTTAAGGCACTTTAGAAGTGGCATTTTGGACAAACTGGATTTGTCCAAAGAGGAGTGACAGGCAAGGAGGCTACAGTTTAAAAAAGAGAGAGAGAGACGAGATAACTAGGGTTTGAACAGAGAACACAGTGAGAAAAACAGCAGATTTATGAGTAAGGCTACATATTAGTCACGGGTATTTTTATTAGAAGTCATGGACAGGTCACGGGCAGTAAACAAAAATTCATGGCCCATGGCCTGTCTATGACTTGTACTATACCCCTGACTAAATCTTGGGAGTGACATGGGTGCTGGGGAGGCTGGGGTTGGCAGGACTGGCAGGCTCCCTACCGGGCTTCCCGGAACCATCAACATGCCCCGCCCTAAGCTCCTAGCTCCGCACGCTGCCAGCTTCGCAGCTCTGCATGGGCAATGCCTGCAGGCAGAGGCAGCGCGCAGAGCTAGGAGCTGAAAGGGAGGGACATATTGCCACTTATGGGGAGCCCCCCAAGGCAAGCACCGCCCAGAGCCCTCACCCCCTCCTGCGCCCCAACCTCCAGCCCTCAGCCCCCTCCCACCCCCAAAGTCCTCCCGCTACTGGGGGGGGGGGGAGGGGGCGGCACAGTGGTCCAAGACTGCCCCAGCAGCAGCTGGTGCGACTAGCCCAGGGGCTGCTGGAGCTGCTCGGGCAGCCCCAGCCCTAGCCGCACTGGCCACTGCATAAGTCACGGAGGTCATGGAAATTCATGGAATCCGTGACTTCTGTGACAAACTCGCAGCCTTACTTATGAGACATTAGGGAGAAAAAGCAACAGGATTTCAGAGATTGGCTCTTTTCTCCCTTCCCCGTATCCCTGAAGATTGCACCAAAGTTGCAAACCTGGAAAAAAGGAAAGCAGGGGAGTTATAAATGCTGAAAGAGGACACAGTTTCAAGATTAAACAAATTCAGCTTTGTTAGAACTGAATGCTGGACACCTAAGTGGAGATATCAGAGAGGCAGCTAGAAATGCAAGACTGGTCGGAGGCAGATTTAAGGTATGTCTACATTGCCCACGTTACAAATGAGGGGTGGTAGCTTTATCGCTGGGATAAAGCACTGTCTATACTGGCGCTTTTCAACACTAAAACTTTTGTTGCTCGGGGGGGGGGGGGAGGTGTTTTTTCACACCCCTGAAGAACTAAAGTTTTAGCACTGAAAGTGGCAGTGTAGATACAGCCTTAGGTAACATATAGAGGTGATAATATTGCCTCCTGTCACTGCAATTAATGATCAGGTGCTGTTTGCAATACACCTCTACCCAGATATAACACGAATTCGAATACAACGCTGTAAAGCAGCTCTCCAGGGGGTGGGGCTGCGCGCTCCGGCAGATCAAAGCAAGTTCGATATAACGCGGTTTCACCTATAACGCAGTAAGATTTTTTGGCCCTCAAGGACAGCATTATATCAGGGTAGAGGTGTATGTTGTTGAATGTACACTGTGAATTAATATCTGATTTAACAGATGGCTAGTTGATTAATCCAGTACTAAGTATATTGATTAGTATATGCAAAAGTAGTTAGTAAACCTGTGTAATCTAAAGAGTGATTTTGTGACTGTATTAGTGGAAACAGATCAAAAGAGGTCAAGTTCATACCATGAGAATGGCAGATCTTCCTGAGATGTTCAATATAGTTAATAGCCATTTTATTCTTAGATAAAACTACTTACATCATGGACAGATTGAGTAACCAACAAAAAAGTACTGGAGATTATTAAAACTCAGAAAACTCTAATCAGAGATCTTACGGAAAAAAAGATTTTATGTGCAGGGCACATTTTAAGAGGTTCAGTGAGCAATGTATGTTTATGGACATTGAAAAGAAAAGATGATGGCAGAACATGAGGAAGAAAAAAAAAGATCTCGGATAGACAATGTGGTACTCTGGATGCCTCAACACGATTATACATCCACAAAAAGATTAGAGGAGCATCATACAGAATGGGCTACCAGTTGCAAACCTCCAACAATGGAGATGACTCCTAATAAGAAAGAAACTACTTAAAGGTAAATCACCTGAAAATACAACACACAAACAATCCGGCTGGCCTGCCTAGAGAAAGCGATTATACATTTCCAAGCTACTTAACTCACAAAAGTTCAACTGCAAAATGTATGATAACTTGTAAAGTCACAAAGGATTTAACAAAACAAAGAACAAACCTCAATTCTCACCAGGAATTCTGTATACTCATTAAAGATTTTCTCAAAATCGAAATTTCTCAAAAGAACTGCAATCAGATCTTTCAACTCCCTCATCACAGGCCAGGTCACATAACATACTGCAGTCCCAAACTTACCCCCCCACACACACACCTCCAGTGCAGGAGCACTAAAGAACATGAACCCCAACTATTCCAAGCTCTCTACTGACCCAAATTTTAGGTATTTTAGCTTAAAGCCACTCACACAGGGACCTAGCCTTACAGCAAAGGTGAAAGGGACGGCAGTTATCCTTCTTAGGATGTCACGGTAAGAGTAATTTCTAACGGTCCTTACTAATAACGACACCATAGCTTAATTAGCAAATTTACTTTACCCCACTTGTACTTTTTATTAACTTGCTATTGACTATCGCAATGGGCATCACTGGAATAGCCGAGCAAATCTGGTTTCTGTTTTTCCACGCAGTTTCACTTTCAACTATTCTATCATTAGCGTAGCGGTGTAATATTGGGCTCCAAACACAAAGCTAGAGGGCTGGGGGGGG